GCAATATATCGCCTTGCTTATAGTATCGCAATATATCAGGATATATCGTATCGTGACCCCTCTGTCATGATATGTATCGCATCGCCAAATTCTTGCCAATACACAGCCCTAGTCGTAATAGCAGCATTTTGGGTCATATAGTGTATTTCCAGATATTCTCACAACTAAACACAAGAACTGTTGAAAAACCACAGAAGAAGAGAGTTCATTAACTATACACACTCACATTTTACAGTACAGAAATCATTAGCATTACATGTTAGAGATATTTGAGTCATTTTGAAGTGGTGTTCTGATTAACCAACATCTCAGCTTTGAAAGAGCTCAGTTTGAAGTGTTTACATCTGACATTACCGATGAGCTAAAGGCTAATCTACCAGCCAAGAACAAATAAATTTCTGCAGCGTTAAAAGAACTCACAGCTCCAATATTTTACATGTAAATGCTGTTTCATAGACCTTTACACTGGTGTAAATTTGATATTATTACAGATCCTTTATGAAGAATTCTGTCAGTATTTGCAAATGCACATAGCAGTAACAGCTAAGTGGAGTACTTCTGTCACAGCTTGGGGTATTTCCTGCAGGAATTTCACAAGATTTCCGTTAAATTAACCATGTAATGTAAAAATGAAAGCAGATAAAGGTTTAAATAACATTGTTTGAAGGTCTGAACAGGATTCCACTTTGGTCTTAGCTGCATTCAGAGTAGCTTGTCAGTATGATCAGACAAACTCCTTTTCTCCAAAGTGAGGTTGTCCAAAGGGCTACACAGAACAGGCAGGGTGCTAAGTGTTCATAGCTCTTTCCACAGAACCGCACTTCAAAATGAACGAGTCCAAAGGAGTCGCAGGTGTTTTAAATCACCATAATCTGCTTGGCCCCAGCAGCCAATCTGTTCAGCAGACTTACTTTAAAAGTGGCGAATGCATCTGAGGCTATGTCAAATGTGGACATTTCAACATATCTGAAGAAGTCGTAGAACTGCTCTGACCACAGTGTGATTTTAGCCAGAGGTTCATGTCTGATGCATTCCCTCAGCATGATACCGCAGTTCAGGGCAATGTCTGGAGACTCGTACCTGCAGAAAACAGCAGCATTAAAACAAGAAATGATCATTTGGCAGATGCATCTGTCTTGTTTTAAGTAAGCCCATCATCTATAGAGTATTTATGTATACAAACCTGCTGCATACTGGGCTGTCTGATAGTGGAAAATCTATTTTAATTATGTTATTGTTGAGCAGGTAATCCAGCAACCCTACAGAGCAAACTAAAGGTGTTCTCATCAAATCCAAAGTTCAGTGCAGCTTTAGAGAAGCACTCATTAATACCAATGAATGGAAATTAGGGTCACAACTACAAAGGCTTAATCCAGTGTGCTAACACTGCTGCTGCTAATCCAACAAAAATCTGTAACTACACAAATGTAGTTTCTCCATTAAAGTGCCTATGAAATTAAAATGTTGAATGCATCGTTTAGGGTTATTATTAACATATTGCAAATAAATAAATAAAAAAAATCACTGCTAAGATAAATATTTGTCGAGATACGTGAATAAATAGGAAGTGATGTCACAGGGGAATGTCTGAACGTAAACAGTGTTGCCACAATGGCTAACAACACAAACTGAAGAAAAGAACCAGATGTTTCTTTAGATTATTTAGAGTCACGATCTGAGATAAAGAAAAGCCAGAGTTCAATAATAATAATATTGTTTCAATAAATTAAAAACAGGGATTTTCTTTTCTTAAAGAGTTCCCCTCTGATGTCACTTCCTGTTTCACTTTAACTGAGCCAAATTCAAAGGAAAAGGTGCCAGTTATGTGACAAAATAAGTAAAATGATGTTTTTTGTCAAGTTTCTTAAATATAAATTTGTTTTCTTTGACTTTTTGTATTGAAAGGAGATGCATGCCACAGGCACTTTATGTCTCTGCTTTTTGATTATATTAATTAGGTTTCATATTTTTTGCTCAACTAGTAGTTTAATAAATAATGAAATCACCTGCAGGATTATTCTGTTGTCTTACCCTTTAAGCAGCATGAAGAGGATATTCTGCTGGGTACAAAGATACTCTACAGTTGGTGTCCGGGTGCCGATCTGGCGCCTCAGGATGTTGTTGAAGATCTGTGCTACGTCTTTTTTACCCTGATGGAAACAAAATAACACATCAAGTTCAAGAAAAACCGATTTTAATAGAAAATAGTGACTATCTTAAAAATACACTTCCTACACAGCAACTAAGAAGTGGAAAACCAAGACACAACTTGAAGTGTAACTGTAGTGTCCTGATACAAACAACTGGATTGATAAAACATGAAAAGAAAACAAAACATGCTTTCCCCTCTGCAGTTATACTATACATACAAGCTAATCTTAGCTTCATACAGACATAAAAAAAACACAATAGGCACTTTCAGAGAGCAGCAACCTTTTTTATAGCTGCTCTGCCTGTGGAGGAAGTTCCTCTTTTTAGTGTTTGTACAGCAGAAACTGCAGCTGATTACAGCTCAACAAATTCCTTCAGGATTTGTTTTAGCTTCGGCTTGAGTGATTTGGTGATCAGGTTAAACAAATATGCAAAATCTGGTCCTTTCAACAAAGGTGCACTGTGACTGAACAAGTATACAAGCTTGATCCAAAGTGGTTTCTCTCCTCAGAGACCTCTTTCTTGCTTTGACAAAAAAGCACAAACATTTGCATGCAACTGATGAAAAAAGTGTTTGTTAAAGGGATCCCTGATTAGTTGTAACATTAGACTTTATTTGATAAACATTTATTTTAACTGTAAAATAAAGACTGTAAAAATACTGTAGTAGGCTGTTTAGTTTTGTAAATTTTTAAAAATATATTTTAACACGGATGGAGCCATTTTATTTACACGCAAAGCATTCTGGGTAAATGATGATGTGGATAGGTCCTCGGTCTGAGCGAGCTATATCCACCCTGAAGGTTAATCTGGGACAATATCTGACGATTGACTCTTTTAAATGAAACCAGAGAGCGTTGACAGAGAGGAGAAGGTAGAAATGACTCAGCCTGTTACTGAAAATATGGATGGAGGACAACAGAGCTGCTTCATGGAAGAAGAACCTCAGCTTAGCCTGTTTGCCTTCGCGCTAGCCCTCACGCTATATTGCCTTATATGTATTAGCTCAGCGCTAGCACGACAAACAAGCTAAACTGAGGTCCTCCATCCATATTTTCAGTTGAAGCTGAGTCATTTTTGTGTTCCCCTCACTGTCATGTGGATGGAGGACCTCAGTGATGAGAGGAGAATGTGTAGCGCTGAGCTAATACATATATATGGTGATAACGTTGGGGCTAACGCTAAAGCTAACAGGCTAAGCTGAGGTTCTTCTTCCATGAAGCAGCTCTGTTGTCCTCCATCCATATTTTCAGTTACAGGCTGAGTCATTTCTACCTTCTCCTCTCTGTCAACGCTCTCTGGTTTCATTTAAAAGAGTCAATCGTCAGATATTGTCCAAGATTAACCTTCAGGGTGGATATAGCTCGCTCACACCGAGGACCTATCCACGTCATCATTTACCCAGAATGCTTTGCATGCAAATAAAATAGCCCCATCTGTATAATATATTTTTAAAGTTTTAGTTTAAAAATTATAAAAACTAAACATCCTACAATATTTTTACAGTCTTTATTTTACAGTTAAAATATATGTTTATCATATAAAGTCTAATGTTACAACTAATCAGGGATCCCTTTAATTAATCATTTTTTAATTGGTAACATATTCCACGTAATTTCCATAAAAGCAAACAGCTTGATCTTTCATCGGGACGTTTGTTTCAGCAGATTGCAGTCTGTTTTTTGTTTTTATTAAGACAAAAAGCTGAAGGTGAACCGTCTGTTCATCCAGAGCTATGACATCCAAAACATTGTCTCATCACACTCCTGAATTTAGTTTTTACTTTACTCTCAAGTTCTTCACAGATCTAGTTCTCTAAGAGCAAAAAAAGTTATAGTGTCACGTGCAAACAAGGGAAAAACGAGAAATAATTTCCACTCAAAATATGTTGCAAACCACTTTATAAAGTCTTCAAACTGCTTCTTCTGCTTGAGCTCCCTGACATTTTTCTACTGTACACCAGTTTGGTGTTGTTTCAAAACCATCAACTGATTTTAAAAGCCCCTTAATGGTCAAGCTCTGTCATTTATAATGTCATCACTCCACATTACCAGTCCTCTATGATCCCAGAATTCAAATTTACTTGCAGTTCTGTGAATCAGTGAGGCAGAGCCTTTATTTATCAGGCTGTTCTACTGTGGAACCAGATCCCAGTCCAGGTTTGTGAGTCTGTCATCCTCGCTGCGTTTAAGGCCAATCCTCAAGCCCATCTTTTTAAAACAAGTTTTTATGCTTTATTTTAATGATTTTTAACAGTGTTTAACTTCAAACTGTTGCAAACTACAGCGGTCAGGTTCAAAGGCAACGAAATAAATAAAAACCAAACAGATGTCACGTCAGATGAATGTGTTAACTATAAAAATCATCTGCCAGTCTAGCTCTCTTCTGTTCTGCACTTTGTAACAGTTTTTTTCCAACAGAGTATTAAATAAGGAAGTCGGTGCTCTTACAACACCATGACTAACGTATCATAAGGTGACTCAGGGACGCCTGAAGCAGCACTTCCACACAGCATCCTGACATGCTGCACAGGGATGTGACTTTATGTATGTGGGTAATCATGAACTATCCTCCAAGAGAGGGATGCCTCTGTGTTATAAAAACAGTTCATTTCCTCTGCTTTCAGGCTTTTTTGGGTCAAAACTTCTCTTTTCTGGTCTCACCTCAAAGTCAATGAGCTGCAGGTCAGCTATCAGGGTGCTGAGTAAACCACTGTTGTAGAGCTCCTGGGCGAGCTGAGCGACTGCCTCTGTCTGAGGCTCTTTTTCATTCGTCCCGTAGAGGATCTCCTTCATGGCCACCAGGCTTTTTGACACCTCCTCCGCAGCCTGCAGGAATACAGGTATCAGCTAAGAGACGCAGCAGAAACCAGTGTCCTTTAACTCTTCTTTACTTACAAACAAAACAAAAACCCTTCAAAATGATTGATGAGATACAATTAGCCAGTTACAAATCTGACTGTGTAAGTTACTGCTCGATGACACTGAAAACTGCTTGTCCAGAAGAATCGACCCGTTTGTTCAGCTGAACATGATACCAATGCTGAGCAAGTCTGCAGAATTTCAGAGTGGAAAGTTAGAAGAAAACAAGTTTGTTTGTTTGTGTTTGTTTGTATAGAACCAATACATTCTCTGTAGAAATACAGTACAAATCCAAAGTTTAGTCACTTTGTTTCATTAAAACAATAAATTGTCATGTTTGTCAGAAATGACAGTGTTTGTTTTCCTGTAAAAATAATTTAACCACTCTTTTGCAATGGGTTGGTGCAACACCTCGGGGTACTTTGCCTCAGTGCAATACTCTCACCGACTTTTGGGTGAAAACAACTTATCCACGTTGACTGACAGGAAATACAGCTACTGAGAGTGTTTGGTAATAAAATGTTTAATAAGACAGCCTGCTTTAAAACATTGAAGCTTTTCAGCGCCCAAATATTTTAACCTGTCAGAAAATAATTATTAATTGTTACTGGTTTATACAGGTAAACTTACACAAATATTGTCCTGATGCATTTCAGTAATCCAGGTAAAAAATCAAAAGGAAAAAATTGTATAGGTCTTCTGGACGGGTTCTTCTCTAATGAAACGTTTCGTCTCTCCTCCAAGAGACTTCTTCAGTCTGAGAGTTTCAGGCAAAATTTTGCCTTCTTTTTTTACACAAATATTGATTAAAGTTCATAGGACTGAACAAACAATGCTACACCTTTAGCCCTTTGGATCGCTTTTTGTCATCTCTTAATAGGGCTGGGCGATATGGCCCAAAAATCTCTGATGTTTTTTATCTCAAATTCAATTTTAATTGATTTTGTTTCCCGGTTAACAGAGTGCCTCTGTTCCAGGTTTTGAAACAGATTTTTTTGTACTCCTGCTTTTTGTATCAAGAGCCTTCAAACAGATTTCGCAGTGAGGTGTTTGTTGCTCCAAGTCTGAGGTTGTAAAAATTAACCAGTTCCAGAAAACTGAAGAAACAGTACCTTTTTGAGAAGTAGATCCTCTCTGCTAGCTGCCACAGTCATGTCATGTAGCAAATGTCTTCAGGGACAGGTGGGGTGACCTCTGAACTACAGAAGCCCCAAAGAGTGTATTGGTGAGAAAAAAAATCTAAATTTTCCCAAAATAAAATCTTTATAAATTGCAAATACGAATTAATCAATTAAATTGATTTATCGTCCAGCCCTATCGCTTAATAATCTTCAATAATTAATTAATACGGCACGGTGGCTCAGTTGGTAGAGCTGATGCCTCTCAGCGAGAAGGTTGCTGGATCAAATCCCAGCCCAGGGACCTTTCTGAGTAGAGTTTGCATGTTCTCTCTGTGCATGCGTGGGTTCTCTTCGAGGTACTCCAGCTTCCTCCCACAGACCAAAAACATGACTGTTAGGTTCAATAACTCTAAATTGTCACTAGGTGTGAGAGAGAGAGTGAATGCAAACTTTAAACCTGATAAACCCAACAATACAATGTCCTGTAATCTACTTTGATTCGAACAAAAACAGATCATTAAAACTTTTGTTAAAAACCAAACAAACAAGAGTACTACATACAGCACATTATAAACCCATCATCAAGCTATTATACAGCAATGTATGGTAATGGCCTGGAAAAAAATTGCGATATGTGTAAGAGTATTTGGATTAGGGTTGGGCGATATTGGCAAAAAAATTAATCACAATTAATTGTGGTATTTAGCCGATAACGATTAATTTGACGATTAATCCCCTGGAGTCTCTGGACACCCTTATGTCCTGGTCACATGACCAATTTAGTGGGAAAAATTTGCTCTTCAAAAAAATCTGTTCCAAATTGTCAAAATTACAGACTTTGAACTATACATCAAATTTTTAATTATGTTGATAGATAAATCAATTTCAGAATTTATTTATTTTTTTATGTTCGTCATATTTGAAGTGGAGAGGAGCACCAAGAGGACTGACCGGGGAAATCTCCAGTCAGTCCGCCTGGTGGCATTAATCGTATTAATCGTCAAGTGCCAAAAAAATAATCGATTAATGTTTTTCTGACGATTAATTGCACACTTTACGATTATGCCTAACCCTAATTTGGATTTTAAAAAGTGTTACGTTTTATTTTATGGCTTTGTTACCATTGCTAACCATTTTCTGACCACTGTTTGTCGTTAAAGATTATTATTATTATTATTATTATTATTATTAGGGATTAAATGCTGGAGCTGAAACAGGCAATATGCAGGTTTGCACCAAAATAGAACAAAATATCTACCATCTACAAACTAAAACCAAAAGTGGCGTATCATGAACAGAAACAAATATTTAAACATTCATCACCATATTTATAGATGAAAGTCCCTGCTTTAGCTCCTAAAAGTTGAGCATCGGTTGTAGTTTTGTGAAGAATTCGCCCTACCTTTTCTGCCTTTTTATCAGAGATGTCATGCTTCTCAAGCACGGTCATGCTGTCCTTCAGGTGCTTGACGATGTCCGCCGGTGACTTGTGGGACTTGCCAAAGGGGAAAGGCATGGCGGAGCGTTACCACGAGCGACCAGGCAGCGGACTGTCCACCTGATGAAAGAAATGTAAAAATAATAAATCTCAGTCTCATCTATGCGTCACCACTTAGAGCAGATCTGATTTATCAGACACTAAATATTTTATTCAAACCAAAAAATATATATATACAGCAGCAGCAAGTCCTCATATAAAATTGTGTTTCATCAGAAAAAGAAGCAGCTGCTGATTTTTAAAACCTGTTTAATGTAGAGAATAAAATGCATTTATGGAAAGGTGGTGAATATTTTATAACCTGTGCACGTCACTTCTACATCTGGGGCCTCATGTATGAATAGTGCGTCGCTTTCATACTGAAAGTTGCATTACCAACAAAATTCAATAAATGCAGACAAACAAAGTTTCAACTGTGGGTAAGCATGTTTCTAAACATCTTTACATCCCAATTTATATGGAATAATAGAGCACAGTTGCAGGTGCTACTTGGACCACCCTGTCCCTGTCCCTTCCCATAAATAAACAATAAAGCCTTGCAGTCAAGGTGTGGGGGAACTCGATACATCTGGGCATCCTATGGATGAGGCCGTCTTATACAGCTGGCAGGAGACGGCTCAGGAATGACTGTGAAACACCCAATCTGTCAGCCAGCTCCCTCTGAAAGGCTCCGATTGCAAGGACCCCCAGCATCTGAGACCAGGATCTGAGGATCTGAACCGAGACCAGCACTCGAACACCTCCTAGTTCTCCTCTCTGCTTGGACCAGCTCGCTCTGGGAACTTTAAATTAGATAATGAGCCAAGCATCACTGTGTGTCTGCAGGTCAGCGTGTTCCTCGAAAACACATTCACTCCCAATTAGGGTGCATTGATAAATCGACCGGCTCATTTATATAGATACCAATTTCCCTTATTTTGGGAGATCAGACGATACTTAGATGAGGTCGGTGGAAAAGATTAGCTTCTCATCTGTCTCCAGAAAGGTCTGAAAATCAACCGCTGTCCCTTTTTGCTCTGCTGTGAGCACTCCCTAATGTCCAAGTAAAACAAGATTGTATTGTTTCAAGGGTATTGTTCAGTGACTTTCAATGAAATAAGATTGGACCATTGAAGGTATTGTGATTGTATAACACCTGACAGTGTCAGCCATTTAAAAATAATTGGAATTGGCCAAAATTGGAATCAAGCGGCTTTTTAAAGATCGTGATCGGTCAGAAACCTGCAATCGGTACACTCTTACTCCCAACTATTGGTGATGTCCTCCAACAGCACCAAACACACAATCATTCCTCAATGACACAAGACTTTATTCAGCTGTTTATGGCCATGTGTCATTTTCTACACATTACTGACCCTAGGAATCATCACGTGACTGATGCCGACTCAAAACTGTTTTCTTTTCTTAGTGCGATTGGGTGTGTTCTTTAGACAGGTTACTTGCATCGGCTGTTTGTGCACCTCACAAGCATGCGTTCTCAGATGTGTTTACAACTACATGTGGCAAAAATAAGTAAAACTTTACAGTTTACATTATTGTTACAATCAATTATAAGGTGTTACATGCTGTGTTTGAGTTTAAATGGCATTAAGTTCATATGGCAGCTTTAAACCATAAATGCTCAAACTCATGAGAAAACATCACGTTTAGAAAACAAATGGAGTCAAAGTGTGTTTAGTCAGGTTTTCAGTAGGGTTGGGCATAATCGTATTGTGTGCAATTAATCGTCAGAAAAACATTAATCGATTATTTTTTGGCACATGACGATTAATACGATTAATGCCACCAGGCAGATTGACTGGTAATTTCCACGTTCAGTCTGGTCGGTGATCCTCTCCACTTCAAATATGACGAACATAAAAAAAATAAATTCTGAAATTGATTTATCTATCAACACAATTTAAAATTTGATGTACAGCCTGAAGTCTGTAATTTTGACAATTTGGAACAGATTTTTATGAAGAGCAAATCTTTCCCACTAAATTGGTCATGAGACCAGGACATAAGGGTGTTCAGGGACTCCAGGGCATTAATCGCCAAATTAATCGTTATCGGCTAAATACCACAATTAATCGTGATTAATTTTTTTGCCAATATCGCCCAACCCTGGTTTTCAGCACTGTGTAGTTTGATACAGGTGACTGGAAGTTTGTGTGGAGGTAAGCACAGTTAAGGACAGTTCAGGACCAGTTAGCATGTTAGTTACGCACTTCAACACATTTGTTTATTTTTTATACATTCCCAACGTGTGTGTGGATTAGAACAGGGATTCCCAACCAGGGATTACAGGAGGTATATGGAACAATTTCCCAGGTGTTTAAAAAAATAAAATAAAAATAGGACTGAGATACTGTATGTAGTAGGGTTGGGCATAATCGTATAGTGTGCAATTAATTGTCAGAAAAACATTAATCGATTATTTTTTGGCACTTAACGATTAATACGATTAATGCCACCAGTTAGTCCGCTCGGTGCTCCTCTCCGCTTCAAATATGACGAACATTTAAACAAAAGTTTGTAATTTATTTATCTATCAACACAATTTAAGATTGGTGTATAGCCTGAAGTCTGTAATTTTGACACAATTTGGAACAGATTTTAATGAAGAGCAAATCTTTCCCACTAAATTGGTCATGTGACTAGGACATAAGACTGTCCAGGGACTCCACAGGATTAATCATCAAATTAATTGTTATTGGCTAAATACCACAATTAATCGTGATTAATTTTTTTTGCCAATATCGCCCAACCCTAATACTGTAGGGCCCTATGATTTTCACAATGCGAAAAATGCAAACGGAATCACGAAACTGACACAAAATGGAATCCTGTATAAAATGCGAAATCTCAGAATTTGCTCATTTGGGGTATTTGATGTATTTTGGACACTGCTGCTTCCTGCACCTGCCATTACCTGGTTTATTTATTCACTTTCAAGGCAACGTATTTACCTTCATGTTTAATTTGAGCTGAAAAAAATAAAATGCCTGAGAGTTAAACGGTCTAGGGCATTAAATAATGATAATAATATATACTCCTTATGAATGCTCCTGGCCCTTATTTGTGTCTTTAAACACATCTTCATTAAGAAGGCAGGATTGTAAAACATCTGATGCTTCAATTATTAATGTTTGCACCAAACAGTAATCATTATCAGGTTAAGATGAAAACACCAGACATTAAAAGGCACAAACCTTTTGTTTTAATATGATCATTTAGCTTCTAAACCCAAACCCCTGAAGCATCCTGACACTTATATCACGTCTTGGCAGGAAGTCCAGATCTACAGAGCAATGCTGGAGTCAGAAAAATAAACTAAAGCAGCAGCCCAGCGTGAGGTGAAAGTCTTCCATTTCTACATTTACATATGCGATGCGTCATAAAACTTGGTCTCACTGACGACCTGACCTGTGCACTCGGCTGCCTGCATCCTCGCTAAACCAGACACACCTCAACTTAACCAGGTGGCCAAATCCGTCCTTTGCGCAGACTAATGCTCGTTAACGTAGCAAGCAGGCTACAGAAAGGCCTCTCTGCTTCTGGCCAACTTCTGTATCAGTGACGCAAATAGGAAGGCCACACATATGGTAGGTTCACAACCTGCAGGTCACTGCTGCTAACACACAATCACTCCACTACTGATCAAATATGGTGTAACAGAGGAAACTAACAGTTAAAAGAGCATTACTACAACTTTAGAAACTTATATCCTAGTTTGTCTCATTCTGTGTTGTAACTATTGTTTAAAAGCTGCAGATAATGTTCGGATATTGTTATCTAAAATAAATCTGTATAAAAGAGGACACACATTTCAACACACAACATGATTTTGAATAGAACTCAACAACACAAATTATTTCCTGTCAACAACCTTTTTTTTATTACCCAAACACCCACACAAATAAAACCCCTATCACAATTAGCAGCACCTGAAAACTACCTTTAGGTAGAACGGAGCAAAAATGTGTTGTTTAAAGTGTAAACATGTAACTAATAACAATATCGCCCAAATAAAAAGACACAAACTGCGTGACAATAACATGGAAAACAAGGCCTAAACTGCTTAAAAATTTAGGTTGGACAGATCAAAGTGTTGTGAGTCGTGTGATAGCAGAAAAAATACAACCCATTATGTTGAGAAATAAATATAGCCATTTTGGTCAAACCTTAAAAATAACTGTAATATTAATAAACCATGTAATATTGCAAGATGTCACACTCAAGAATACGAGCTGCGAATGACTCTCAGCTACTACCACATCTGATTTTTGCTCAGTATCTGTAAAACTGATTGATTCAAAGACAGTTTTTGTCTTGACAATAGCTGAAGCAGTAACTTTGAACTAAGTTCATTCCAATCTATTAGTTATAGGAGGATAGTTAATGATTACTTGCTGAGTTTCATTAAAAGCTGTTTAGTGAGTCATGACGTGAGTGACAGCAGAGTGTAAAACTTTAAAAAGGGAACCTACTGATTTTTCTTTATTGAAACAATATTATTTAACTCTGACTCTTCTTTGTTTTCCTGAGAGTGACTCAGTAATTTAAAGTTACAACACATTCTTCCCTATTTCATCACAGGCGGCTGTGGTGCTGCGTTAGGGCAGCTGACATAGTAGGGGTGTAAGAAAATATCGATACACTGAAATATTGCGATATTTCATTTCCCGATACTGTATCGATATTCTAAAGCCCTGTATCGATTTTTTTATTAAGGTTTAAAATGTCAACTTTCCTGCCAGCCGTTCATTTTTATGTTGTAGTTCAGCCTCTGACCACTAGTTGGCAGCAGTGAGCCAGCCATTTGGCTCCTCCGCCTCTTGAGGTAGAGGCCATTGTTAATGGTGCGTTCACACCAAATGCGATTTCAGCTTCAAAATCGCAGCCAACGCTGAAGTTTGAAGCTTGTGCACTTTAAGGT